ATTTTATAGGCTTTTTATAAAATCAGAATTTTTTCTACAAAAAGGTTTAGCCTCTTTATAGAGCGTCGAATCTTTTTGGCGTTTCATAAAAAGCCCAAGCCTTTTATGTAAACAGAATGCTAAATTTACAAAGAGTCTGCAACATATATAAAATACATGTAATATATATCTTATATTAATATAAATAAGATGTAAACCGAGTATGCTTTTTATAAAACCGGTGAATTATTTTAAACTAGTCTCATATAGATATATATATATATAGATAAAAAAATATGTGGCTGCAAAAAATATATCTACGATGCAATGTAAAAACGTAGTTATGTACAATAATACAGTTTTCTGATTGGTCTACACATATCAGTGCTTTAGATATTTAATATAATATACACACAAGAAAAACACAGAAAAATTTCGTGTCAGTCCATCTATTCTAGATATCTGTGTGCGTAACAGGGGAGAAAATCATGTAAAGTACTATGAAATTGGTTGTTTATTCCTTCTGTTAAAGTTGTACATCGGTAGAGTTTCGTACTTTCTCCTTCAAGGTGTTCGTGATACAATTATATCGATCGATTATTGGGTATTTTCAGCGTGATACAATTGAAATCTACAACGGAAAGAGCGATCGAGAACGGTACAATCAGTACTATATATACTGTATAGAAATAGTATAAACGATATTGTCAACGGTACAGATTCGTGAAACACGATTTATCGATTATTTACAAAGATCACACTACACTGATTGTTCGCTGGAAGAATTCGCAAGTCTTTACACGTTATGTCGTCGAGTTGTTGTCACTGTATTTCGCAGAATGATGGACTTACATCGATGGAGAAATTTATTTCCGAAATCCTTTTAAATCTACATTGAAAAACAGCAAGGAAAAGTTCACGGTGATTCTTGTAACGCGTGATTTCTATTTTTCAAAAAGATGTAGATTTGAGACGTTTTTTTTTTCGGAGATAAATCCTCTTCGATTCCGTTTTTATGTCCTCGGCGCGACGACATACGCGATATCGCAGCGTAATATTTCATCTGATATAACGAAAATATCTTCTGACAGACGTACCATGCTTTCTTTCTCTTTTTAATGATCAATCGAATACACGCGCATTACTAGTAAAAATAAATCGATAAGATCGAAGAAGTACTGTTACATGTAATTTATGCATACTCTTACACGCTGAATAGAAGGAAAAGAAGAAGAAAAAAAGAGATCCTTATACACGCAACACCTATAGCGTATGTGGATACGATACCCCCATATGGCGCAACAATAACACATTTACTGGAATGTAATTGCGGCAGTGATGAAATGGCTAGTGTCGATTCAATCATTTCAGTCTCGGTACGTTTCGTTAAAATTACAAGTCGAACGAAACAGCGAACTATCTTCCTAACAAGGCAGTTAGCGAGTCGAAGGTCGCGAACTATAAATAAAGGACAAACAAATGACGCAATTAGCCTTTTCCATAAGGTATTTTCCGGTATACCTTATATCGTATACAGTAAAATCCTACTCCGAATTTTTTTTATGCATCACGCATTAATCATAATTAGCAATCTAAACGTAATTAAAAGAAATATATGCAATCGTTGAAAAGAGAGATAATTTAAAATTATTATACACACAAGAGAAAATTATGACGAAACGCCGGTTTCTATCGGTAGATTTGCATTTTTTCTTAATTTACAACAATCTTCTAGTAAACACTCACTTAATGATTCGTTTAACATCTTTTCATCATAATTTTTTTAATTTTTCGACACACTTAATGTAGGTTTCATTTATGTCTTTTTTTTCTTTAGTACAGCAAATTATCTAACAACCTAACACATGTCTAACAATCAAGGAGCCTCTAGATATAACATCGCTAAATGCGCTTTTATAACCACACCGCTTTTATTTCATTATTTGTACAGATTCGAGTTATGCTTTGTTTGTAAAAGCGTTACTTGAATCCGAAATTAGAGCTGCCACCTTGACATTTCACTATCTGAAGGCTATAGGCCTGAGAGTGAAATAAATATGTATGTATATGATGATTATAAACGCGAAAAACATGATTAAAACTCGTCAATTTCTTATGTAAAGTGCACATAAAACGAATCTTAAATATATCTAATAATGAAAATGTGCAACAATTCGCAAATGTTTTTAAAAACATTATGTAAGATTTTATAAATAAATAATATAAATTAATAAATTTTAATAACTTAAATAATAATAAATTTTATTTTATATTACCGAGAAAAATAAGAATAATGTAATGTAATATGACAAATTTAACTAATTACGAAACATAAAACTCATTCAAGAGACATATATAAAAATAACATACTATATTTTTTAATGAATTATATAAAGAGAAAAAAAAGAGAATATGAAGATCTCTTTCTAAATTTTTGTATAAATAATACTTGGAACATTTTTAATTAAAAAGTAATAAATAGAAAAATAAATATTAAATTATAAAATTGTCATTCGTAAAAATTATTTTCAAATTAAAATGACATATACACACACTCACACACACAAATTCATATATATATTTACATTTATTATGAGCCGGAGATAAGAAAATCTAAATCTCTGGAATTTCCGATTCCGAGAATCAGAAAAATGGCAGCTCTAATTGGATAATCGGAAGCTAATTGAACAGTAAATAGAAACGAACGTCAATTTTCTCGAGTTAATATCCGAAAAAAGAGTTTTTCAGGAAAGTGTAAAAGAGCAATACTATGTCTTCCGATAGGGACGAACATCCACATTTTAGAAGACGAAGAGAAGTTAACGCAACAGTACAGTATTGCGCTTTCATTTTATACATTGGTCCTTTTCCGACTTCTCGCGACTGATAACTGATCCAATATCGAGGTGAATCCAACTAAAAAGGCAGGCAGGCATTTCACATCATACGCATGGTACACAACACAGACTTAATTACCTGAAAATATAATCGAAATAAATAGTAGAGATGCATATAATGTGATATTCCCTTAATTTTAATTAATCTGTCACACAACGTGAAATTCGAATGATCCCAAATAATATATTACACGCAAATCCTATATTTTACTTGGTTTATATAAAAAGTGAAATTTCCTTATTTATTATTTTTTGTATTGGTCTTTTTTATCAAACTTAAAGTGCGCAGATGATCGCAATCTTATTTTCTGTGAACACATTTGGGAATGTTAATTTTGCAAAACAAATTACTAATCGGAGGCAGCATTTCTATATCTAAGCAAAATTAGTGTAAATTATGAATCTTTTATAATTATAAGTAACTTTTGAATTACTGTTCAACTTTGTTATCTAAAATAAATAGCTTGTTTTGAATTTTTGTTTTCAAAATATTTTATGTAAATATAAGTATATTTTGTCAAAACACTGATCTGAATTTTAGATCAATTTATTGAAATAAGATAGTGTGTCTCGAAATAGGTGAAAAATGTTAAGAGAATATTTTTATATATACTGATATAGAATCTTAGAGAGAGAGATCTTTGTCTTCCCGTAAATTATTGACACTGTGTGCGCGATTGTGAAAAGAAAAAGAAACAGATTGATTATTACCGTCATTATTACATTCACACCCGAATGCGTAGCGGAACGCTGTCTGACTTGCACTCGGCCTCCAATTCCTGCCGGATGCCGTCAAGGGTCTGGTAGATTGTGCGAAATGTAGGCCGGTCAGACGGTCGCCTGTTCCAACAGAGCTTCATCAGATCGTAAATCGATTGCGGTGTATTGTCCGGATATCGCAGCACGTCGCCTTCTTTGATGTACTTGACCACCTCCTCGTGCGTCATCCCGTAATATGGCTGCAGCGCGAAGCTGAAGATTTCCCATAGACACACAGCAAACGCCCACACGTCCGATTCGACAGTATACTTGTTGTAAAGTATACTCTCGAGCGGCATCCATCTGACAGGGATGGCATCTTGTTCGTCTCCTACATTGTTACGAGAATATTATTACAAAGTAGCAATTACATAATTAAAAATAATTATGTATCTGAATATAAGAAAGATAGTTGTGAAAACGCTACTTAAAAGTCAAAGGAGATTCTCGAATAATCTTTGAAGCATCTCTAAATAGTATTAATAATAAGAGTGAGAGACAACCTTTATAATAATCCTGCAGATATATCTTCTGTGATAGGCCAAAGTCGGCGATCTTAACGATCATTTGATCATTGATCAGGCAGTTGCGTGTCGCCAGGTCGCGATGGACGAATTTCCGATCGGATAAATATACCATACCGGACGCCACTTGCAGAGCGATGTTGATGAGATCCATGTGCGAGAGTCGCGAGGGCTCGCCCGCCATCGAGCCGTTATCGTCCGCCGTGCTGGTCACGCGGATGATATAGTTGCTGGGCGAGCACGAGCGCAGGAACTCGTTGAGATCGCCGCGGCCCATATACTCGAATAGCAGGCACATCGGCCGACCGAGCGCGCACACACCCAACAGCTTCACGATGTTGGGATGATCAAACTCGGCGAGGAGACATGCCTCCCGTTCAAAGTCCCGTAGCAAATCGTCTGATGCCTCCTCCTTCAGCATCTTCACGGCGACGTTCGTGAACTCCTCGCCCGCGATCAGCCCTGGCGCTTTCGCCTGGAACACGCGACCAAACGCGCCTTGGCCTAAGTCTCGCACGTAGATGATGTTGTTTCGTGGAAACTCCAGTTTTTCTAACTTAGGATTCAGCTGTGCGCTCGTCTTGTGATACGCTTCGTTGTTGGGTAGTTTATCCAAATCAATGTTCACGTCCTGCGAGGAGGAAAGATTTTTAGAATGCTGTATTATTATATAATCGATGCAAAAATCGCATAAATATGAATAAAAAAAAAATATATATAATAATATTATATATTAATTATATAAAGCATTTTTTTAATTGTATTTAATTTTGTTTCTTTAATGTGTGTATACATACACGCACGCACAATTATCAAAATTATTTTTAAGTAAATGCACCTGATTATCGGTCGGATTATAGCCTCGATGACGCTTATGCAGTCTTTGGCTCAGGAGAATAGACAGTAACGCACTGGCTATGATTACAAAGCCTAATGCTGATAGTATGAGCACCAGTGTGTTATTAAATAGAGTGTCCATTGTTATGTCTTTTGGTTCAATCTCCACTTTAGTTGTCATATTATCTGAGCAAAGACATTGAATTATTATTTTAAATGCTACTTATTATATTATAAAAAAAGCAATCAGAGAGATATTAATTTACATTAAGATATTTTTAGAAAATATTTTTTTATAAATAAATGAAGAGAAACATTCTTTTTTGATATAATAACTTAAATTACTTTATAAAAAATATATTTTCGAATTTTATTACTCTCTCTCCGAATGTTTTGATATAAAATTTTATCGATAAAAAATTTTTACCATTTCGGTTATACCCACCACATACAGGAATATCGCAATGCTCCCAACGTATTAGAGGATCGGTCGTGAAACACCACGGTACTGGCTCGTCGCCGCCCGCGTTTCTACAATAATTTTCGCCGTATCGAATCTGTGGGAAGACATCAGGCGGTTTATCATGATTGTGCGGCACTTGCGCGCTCCATGATTGGCAGTCTAATCCGTATTTTGTCTTGTTGACTTTTCCCATGTAGAATCTACCATTGCCTCTGATACAATCATCTATGAAAGTCAATACATTATAATTTACGTTTTCTATAACTTGCCTTTATACTATGTGATATTATTCAAAAAGGCACGCAACAACTTACAGGTGACAACCTCCTCATCCATGTCGATGAGGTGTACGTGTGAACAGGTAGGAACTTCCTTGTTCACTTTGGGCAGGCTTTCGCATTCCGGTAGCACAAAGTGTCCACGCGAACGAATGTAAATGTCTCTTTGCTTGTTGTCCTCGATGATCGCCCAGTCGTTGAAGCAGAATTGCTGGCGTACAGCCATGCAATCCTCGTAGCATAAGGGTAGGCCTACCGATTCGTGGCACAGCGGAAACGCGTACATGCAGAGCATCTTCTGCAACGAAATAGAAATAATAAATATTCTCTCATCGATTCTTCGTCTCTTGAAGCTTATAATTTTAAAACATCGCACTTCTGCTGCCGAACGACATGGTTCCAAAAGCGTCTCTATCAGTTCCTCCCAGAGATTCGTTGTGATCTTCTCGTTCAGCCATCCACCGGGATTGTCATTGGAATCGTTAAACCAGACCTTCCCAATACCAGTAAGATATTTCTTGCAGATCTTGCCACTATAAGGTGCGCAGTAACCCTGCGACTCTGGCTCTGGTGGAAACAGAGTTTATATTTTCATATTTATACAATAATTATGCAACAATCCGGAGATACCTACTTGCTTGTATGGCACTGAAGCGCAGAAATATCGCTAGCGAATAAATGACGGTCCGAAACACCATTATTTACATTCATCTATATATACATACATATATACACGTATGTTTATTTATTTATATATATGCAATCTATATATATAAGCCGTTGTAAAGTGATGCGAATCTCGAGGAAGGCTCACATGTTCGAAGAGAAAAACAGGCGATTCGCGAAGTCCGCGAATGTTTCCACTTTCCACTCCTCTTTGCTCCCTTCTCAACGGTTACATCGAACTATTCTAACCGAGCGATCGGGAGACGCGATAACCATATATCTTCCGCGGAACGATTTATTATTCCATTCCATAACGAACGATATCAATAATCGGGCACATGAGACTCTTGTACTGGGTAATTCCTGATTATTGATATCTTTCAATTTATCGCTTTACACTTTTCGGTACCGATCGGTAGGTCGGTGTATCATGGCGGTACCCGTTCAATTTGAAGATTAGAGGTTATGTTATGGTGGAGCTGCTTGCGCCATAAATATAGAAAGAATAGATTCGTTGTGAGTAGAAATATCCGCTTGACTGAAAAGGTTTCGCGAGCGTTCAGTTATCGTCTTGTCAACACTCGACGTTGATTTGTTGGTTCTAAAAGTAAGAGCCAATCACGTTCGATTGCTACTGAGCGGTTTTCTCTGCTGAACGCGGCCAATGTTTCTATATATTTTTTTCTTTTAGGACCGCTCGTTTACAAGTTACAAATCATGCGAACATTTAATCGATGCCTTTTTGCATAAAAACAAAAGTTTGAAGGGTAAATATCATCGTTCGATAGTGTAAAAAGAGTTATTAAGCGTTAAAGATGTAATTTTTGAAATCAGTGTCAGCGGCGAACGGCGAATGGCGAATGGCGAATGCGTAAAACGTCGCGTCGGTCATCTTCGGCGCTGTTCGGTCGTACTCGACTCCCGTTGCGCTTGCGCGTTTGGCCGCCGCGCCAGCGCAATCCAACCCCAACGGCATACTTTGGCTGCGTTCCGTTTCACGCATTGAGCGCATAGATCGCCTGGAAATCTATAATATATGTTACGTGAACTATAGATTTTCATGCGATCTATGCGCTCAATGCGTGAAACGGAACGCAGCCTTTGTGACTTGGGCTGCGATCGAGAAGACGCTAGAGATGCTTCGAAGTGTTGCATTAACCAATCAGAATAAAGAAGTCTTTACTCTTTTTGTTCTGATTGGTCAATCAAACGCTTCGAAGCATTTCTAGCGTCTCCCCGACCGCAGCCATAATCAAACATTTACCTTTATATATATAGCGTTAAAGATGTAATTTTTGAAATCAGTGTCAGCGGCGAACGGCGAATGGCGAATGGCAAATGGCGAATGGCAAATGCGTAAAACGTCGCGTCGGTCATCTTCGGCACTGTTCGGTCGTACTCGACTCCCGTTGCGCTTGCGCGTTTGGCCGCCGCGCCAGCGCAATCCAACCCCAACGGCATACTTTGGCTGCGTTCCGTTTCACGCATTGAGCGCATAGATCGCGCATACTTTTTTCATCTACGATTGAAAGCGATTTAACAGATGTTTAAATTTGTTGCGATGGTTCGCAGGTGAACTTTCACACTGAGTCATACATGAACGTTTACCCCAAGGACAAAATCGTATATCTTACGAGCGAGTCGGAAAATGTGATAGATCATCTCGATCACGAATGGGTATATATCATAGGCGGTCTCGTCGATCATAATGCACATAAGGTGAGCTTATTTGGTTCGTTGTCTCTCTTGGCGAATCTCTAACAAATATTTGAAACGTAGGGTATATGCCACAAGCTAGCGAGAGACGCGGGCGTCAGGCATGGGCGATTGCCATTGGATAAATTTCTGCGGATGAAGGCGAGAAAGGTTTTGACCATTGATCATGGTAAGTGTTGAGACATTTAATTTTTTTTAGATCGACTGTAATATTGTTTATATAATTTTATGAGCGTCTAATTTTTCTCTGATTACTTTTGTAAAAAATAAATTTTGAATAGAATTAAATTTATCCCGTGAAGAGATATATTGTTTATAATCAGATTCATGCAATGCGAGTTATATCTTGAGATTTATATTGTCAATGATTGAATTTGTCCAGTTTTTGAGATACTATTGAAAATAACGGAGGGCAATTCTTGGCAAGAGGCATTCCTGAAGGTGTTACCAGAGAGGAAAAATGCTCAACCGATTGTTCCTGTGCAATTCAAAATAGAGGAATCGCGAGATCCAATGCCTGTCGATGTAAATAGTGCAATGTTAGTCAATGTAAATAGTACAATGCAAATTGATGTAAATAATGTAAATACTACAATGCCAGTCGATATAAAGGACGTTTGCCATCAAGAGAGTGCTAATATATTGGTAAGTAACATAGAATCGAAAAAACTCTTAGAAGAACAACCATGTGCAACGTAAATGCGCGAATAATAGCATAATTAATGTCAAACGTCGCTTGCAAAGTTAGAAGTGCGATGACATTCTTGAAATATTCTTGATTATAACAAGTTTCTACAAAATTAGAAAAATTAAATTATAGATGTTTAAAGTATATTTTTTTATCAAATATATTTTTGTAAATTAAAATGTCTATTTTAATGCGCTAATTCTTTTCGTTGTTTCGCAAATATATGGAGATATAGAGAATGTCTTCTGCCATTCTGCTTTTAAGACTACCAAGATTTATAGTTGACTGCACATGAGGGAGAAGCTCAATACACACATGATGACGACAATATACTTTCAGTATCGTGTATTTCCAAATGTTAGCGATGCGTAGACAAGAACAAGACGACAGATACCAACTATAAACGGGCTACAAAAACATGTCCGAGACTCGACAAACGTCTCGTCAATATCTTCTTGCGCATTATTTTCTTTTTTTTTTTTTTTACATATCTCGCAGACAACATGTTACAATATAATACATCCTTACACGTCTAAAATATTTGTTCGCGCTACTCGAAGTGCAGCCTCTATCGATCATTTTATCTCTTGTATCCTTACTGTCGCACAGCATTGTCGTCATCACTTAATTATCGCAATTAAGTCAAAAAGCGTTAACTCGTGACTCTTCAGGTTAAAACGTTTGTACACAGGTGCATATTTATTACATTGCAAATGTACATATGCCTATTTTACCGTCCAAGATATTAAATACGATACTGTAGTATCATATACATACATATCTACAGTCAAGTCCTCGTGTTTCTTACTGTCTGCCTTCTTATTCTATCCTTCTTATTCTGTCTGTCACTTTTCTAATTGCACATATGATGTTTTCAACTGCTTTCTCACCCTAAGCATAGTCACCAATATGAAATAGAGTGAAACAAGAGAAGTCACAAAGAAGTAAAATAGAATGAGAAGGCTCGACTGTATTTGTTTAAATAAATAATATTCTGTTTTCTCTTTTTCTCTCGATTCTCGCGCTTTCGATCGTTACTTTTTACGCGCGCGAATTCACATCGAGAGACAATTGTGACTTAAACTAAAATCACTTATCTGATTTGTCATATCCTTAATCGAGATAATCGCGATTCGAAAAAAGCAAAATTATTATTATTTATCGTCGTTTGATAAATTAATTGGCTGTTTGCAGCCGATTATTGAAAGATTGGTTTTTCTCTTTTAGGGTTTTTTATTTTTATATTAATTTAATCGCACACGAAAATAGCATTTTATTTTCTTATACGGATTGATCTTCATCACATTTCCATCTTTACTATTTCCTCCTTGTCAATTATCTCAAAGTCACTGTCACTGTTGCTCTCATCGCTGCTGACCGCGATCTTTTCTATCTTGTTCGCATCGAAGGCTTCCTCCTCGGAGGACGAGGACGAACTCTTCTCAAAGTGGCCGGTCTGAAACTTTATATCTTCTTCACCCTCGGCGTCATTTTCGCCAGCGCTGAGCTCTAACTCCGACATTTCTACACCATCGGTACTTCCCTCTCCGTAGTAGGTCAGAGATAACATCTTTTCTTGGAAAGCCTCTATGAAATCCTCATCGTAAAAAGAATCTGTAAGTAACGGCGAGATGTAACAGTCGACGCGAATTAATTCAATTTGTTAATTTTAATTTTAATTAATTCTATTTTGTATTATAGCGAACGAGATAAATAAGGCGATAAGTATCGAGTAACACGGGATCGATTGTATCTTTACAAGTTATGTCTAGAAGGGACTATATATATATATACATGTACACTTTTTAATATCCGAAACGCGAGTTGAATTAAATTTTATGCAGAAGTTGTATAAATAATGAGTTTATCGCTGTTTACCGTTTTGAGTATCTGACAATACGCTTGTCGGTGTCGGCGAATGATCACCCGTGTCCCCCACTCGATTTAGCACCTGAAGATTCGCTTCTGTCACCACCGGTAGAAACTCGTCCCCGATCTCGCTGTCGCATTCCCATTCTGGGGGAGGGGGAAACATAATATATGAACGTCATTCTAAACATTATAGTAAATGATATGAGATAGAGAGCTCGATTATAATGAAGATTCATCACAACTTTAACAAAATTCTCCCGTAGCAAGCAAAATAATAAAAAAAGAAATAATTATATTTTTTAAATTAAATTAATCCAGTTTCTTAAGTTAAACAGTTTCTTAATTCATTACTTCCAATTGTTATGTAAATTAATTAAAAAAAAATCTCGTATAGAAATTTGAGAGAAATTATTTTCCAGTAAAATCCAAACGCTTACCTCTGTGCGACTTAAAATATTCTGATAGTTTGTCGGACAGTTTCAAGGGTAGCCGCATAATTAGTGGGCCCAATACAATCCCCCAATATATCGAATGGTGGGTTGATGGGTTGATACGACCGAAAAGCCATAGGCCGAACGCCACAAGGCAAAGGATGACGCAATGCTAAAATACGCGATTGTAAATAAGATTCTTAATCTCCTCCTCCTCCTTTGTATAATTCCCTCTTCCACCTTTATTTTACGATATCGAACAAAGTCGATACCAAAAAAGACAACTCTTACCAATCCTGGTTGCTCGCTTCTCAACTGCCGCAGGCTTCTCCACAGCCAGTGAAGTCTACTGCATACTCTTTGATGTTCCCTGAAACGCATTTATATAAAATTAAGATCGTTATTTTTATTTTTATTAACAGAATTATTTTTTCAACAATTTTTGCCAATAATTTTTATCTATATAATTGTTACAATATATAATAATATTGATTATAAAATAATTGATAAAGCGACTTATTCGCGATACGAATTATTTAAAATGCAAGAAATATACGTGTGCCTCTTTAATTTGCATGTAAAAGTGCTTGTTTCGACAACTTACTCCGATGGAGCCAGAGTATCCATGAATTTGAAGGCGACCATTAACTGTATAATAAGATAAACGGTGAGAATTCTGAAAGGTATCCGCGATGTCGATATTCCAAGCACACCGTAAATCCTGCAACAAGCACAAGCGTGTCGTAAGTCCTACAAAAACAATAACAACCATAAATTTCGAAATAATTTCTTTGTAGAGAAATTCCAGAGAAAGTTTTCGAGATTTTTGAAGAAAAAAAATATCAATCTCTTCTATAAGAGAGCTTATTTTAAGAGTATTCTCTCTCGAAAATTTATATAAAAAGAAATTTAAAAAAGTAAGTAAAACCACAGAGACAAAGTAATTCAAAATAAATCTAGTAATAAACTTAAAATTAAAATTCAATGATAAATTTTTCGATTGTATATCTTAAATAAAATCTCGGCGAGCTAAAAATCGCCAGATCGACACCGATCTAGTACAAGGACACTTTCGTCGAAATAAGAAACACGTGCGCGCGCGGATCTCTCGTTCGGACAACGTGCGATGCGTACCGGAAGTGAATCACGAACGCGAGCGAATTATCAAAGCAAACACACAAGGATCTTATCAGCGAGATTTTTCATCGGCGGAGAAGTCGAGATAAAGCGACACGCGTTATAAGACAGCGCGCTCGAGAGAGACCAAATACATATATTATCTATATATACTGCATGCATATGTATGCATGCACGTCGCCTCGACGATGTAATTCCCATGAGCGCATCCCGTTCCGGTGCCTTGACCTAGAAGGCGAAGTTACTCTTCGTGCAAGCAAAACGTAAAACAGCTGTAGCAGCGATATGACGTCACGAATAGACGGCCGGGAGGCGCGTCGCGTCGCGTCGAGCAAAACGCTCGCGTGAAAACATAAAGACGCAGCAGCAAAGCGTGGCGTAATAACCGAATCGCATTCGCGATAAGGACACGCTTAACGGGAGATGATATCGCGATCGAAGAAATGCGAAGCGCGTTAGAGGGAGAGGGCGAAGGGATCCCTTAAAACGCTCAGAACAAAGGCGGTCGCTTATGACGCAATCGACAAAGTTTAAGAGAGAGAGACAAGAGAGTCCTTCGAAAGGTGCGTGATCTTTTTTTTTCCTTTTGTTTTTTGCGCAGATAAATTCGATCTCTCGATCTTACGAACAACAATCTCGATTAATAGGTCGTTTATCTTTTTTCTTTTAGGTATCTATTTATCTAATCTCAGCCCGAAGATGGAAAACGTGGGAAATTCCGTAAAATGTGCGGGGAGTCGCAGAGAAAGAAACTGAAAGACACAATGAAGAGAAGACGAGAGACAATGAGAAGAGGCTCCGCGTGCGCGCGCGTGCGTGCGTGCAGTTTGCCGTCTCACCAGATCGTCACGCTGAGTACAATGATTAGGTAGACGTTGACGAAGAAGGTAAAGTCCTCCCAGAGCAACGTCTTCTCCACGGCGCGGCAGTACCGGCACGCCTCGCTGCTGCACGTACGATCTCGCCCGGGTGACGAGAAGGCCTCTCCTCGGGACGAGGACGACGACGTAGACGGGGACGCCGACGGCTCCGGCGGTCCGACATTGTCGTCGACGTCGCGCCCCGTCGTCGCCCGTCGATATACCCGGGAGATTACGTTCCACGCGCGACACTCCATGACCCGGCGCGTGAACAACGGGAGTATACGATCCATTATCCGGACCCGTTGATCGTCGTCGGCGGCGGCGATGGCGATGATGGTGCTGGTGACGGCGACGGCGATGGTCGTCCAGCGTGTATCAGCGACAACGCGCTGCTCCTCCTCCTCCTCCTCCTCCTCCTCCTCTTCCTTGTCCTCCGGGTTGCGATCGGCAAGTCGTAGTAGACTACTTGCCGTTCATGGCCAAATGCTCCCCGTCCACCCGCGAATCGGACGACAACTGCGCGTCGTAAGACGTACCGTGTGTATTAATAGCGCGGGACGCGCAACCGAGGGCGAGCGCAACGCGACGACGAATGCAGCGGGAGACTCGACGAGGGTCTTCCTCAGCTGTCGCGCGCTGCCCTCCAAGGAAAAGAGAGGGAAGGAAGCGAGATGGAGCGATCGACGGGGAGGACAATGCAAGGAAGAGAGACAGAGTTCAGGACAGCTGTTGTACAAGGGACACCCCCGTGGAGTAAGGTGAGAATGCAGGTAGGTAAGTATATACCTTAACGCTTACTTATCTGTCACTCGATTTTTCTGCGCGCGCACACGCACATATACACACGTACAAAGTGTATTCTTTTTTTTTTTTTTTTTTTCCCCTAAATCGCGCACTTTTCGCAGAAAACTCGGCGACTCTATTCGAGAGAAAGGTCGAAGAGAGCCAAGTGCGCTTTGTGCGCCGTTCTACACGATCCGACGATGACGCGCGTGCGATAGAGACCGACTGACTCGTACCCACACACGTACACACATACACAAATATATGTATGTATGTAGGTGCGTCGCGTGCTCCTGCGTCAAATGTACCACTCTCGGTCTCTCCCTTACCCCCACCCTCACCTATCTCGCGCGCCGTGTGTATACAAACACGTGACGATTGCTACGCGCACGCGAGTCGCGCTTATCGCGACACACCGAGATGAGGTATGCACGAATGTACGAGACGTCGAGACGCAAAAAAGATCGCGAGATCTCCCTCCAGAGATTCTTTTTAATCAATGTATAATCTTATAAACAATTCACTTTTTTCTTTTCCTGCCTCATCGGAGGATCTCTCTTTCTCTCTCGAGAATTGTGTTTATTTATATATAAGCGCGATGCTTTTTCTTTTTTTTGTTTACCACGTTCTTTTAAGCGGCGTCTACAATAGAGATTTTAAGCCCTCAGCCTTAAGAAATTGACCAATCACAGTCAAATATGAAGAGAATACTCGACTGTCATTAGTCAATTTCTTAAGGCTTAGGGCTTAAAATCTTATTGTAGACGCCGCTTTATAGTATTGTGTCTATAGTTTGCAACGAGCTAAACAAGTTGAATACTTCTGAGGATTAGGAAAAAAGATTCCACGAAGGCCGCAAGATTATCTCCCCACGCGTCTCTCCGATAAACTATTTTTAATAAACCTCCGTAAGTAATATTATTTTTTTCACTTTACCTGTTTATATATATATATATTTATGTATGCTTTGCCGATTGATTGGGTTCTTGAGTATTATTGTTAATTAATTCCCAAGCTAAGCGATGCGTATTTTCCTTTAGTGCGTCGCAACGCGATGCAAATCCGCGCGTGTTTACGTACTCGAAGACGGAAAAAATATGCAAGGGCCATAAAACACCAAAGATAAATCGTTGGAAAATTTAACAGGGCAATTCCTTTGTTTCTCGAATCTTTTAATTAAAATCTTTTACGAGGAAAATACTCTTTTTTCTCGTCACTCGTTTTTACGTTATTCCGATTAGATTATCTCTCAATTTTTATTAACAATCCTCGACCTCTGCATGTGGTTTTCTTTTACTATAAACTTGTCGGTAAAAAATAGTTGATAAGCGTGTTTTGAAACATTGATAAACCAGTTTGTTGCTATCCGTTTTCCTTCTCGTTTCGAGCCGCAGCGCGTTCCAATTTTTAAACGACGAGCGAAGACTTTTTTTAGCGTGCTTTCAAAAAAGATTGCAGACGTCGTTTTGCGGAAAAAACAAGCGTTTCGACTCGTGTGACATTTTGGAGAAATCCTCGGGATATCACGTCGTTACAGCCCGATTTAACGAATTGTTCTTCATAGCAGAGAAAATAGTGATTGTTTTTAAATTTTCCTTTTCTTTGTTACAAAGATTTATATCGTGTATTGTCTTTTTCTCGAGACAGTTCTTCTAATTCTTTCCATTTTTCGTGTTTCAATATCTTTGGAAATTGTTCCTTTAGTTCCGATCATCACTGGCTTATTGTCCCTTAATCCTATGGCAATATTCATGTCCCTGCAGAATAGAATTCTCCATTAAAACGGCCCGTTATTTTTGACACTTCGTCTTCAAAATATATTTTACTATCACCTTTAAAACTTTCTCTTTTGTGCGCACAGCTTTTCATTTATACAATTTTTCGAAAACGCTTACAAAATCTTCCTCTCTCCCGCCTTCTTTTTCCATTAGCTCAATCGCATAAATAAATAAATATAAATGTACGCTCATTAGATGCCGAAACGATCTTTTCTTTGCTTGCGACCTATTGTTCGCATTAATAAATCATACGTACGTAGTATTTGCTACAGGAAATACAATAATAGATGAGTCACATGAAGAAAATTTAAACATCTCCCTCTTTGTTGTGAAGGCATATAGAGAGCATAATTTAGTCTCAGAATATTTTTAACGTTTCAATATTTTTCTCGTTCGTTTGACTCTAAATTTTCGAATTTCAAAACGATAATGACTTGCATGCTTAAGCTCGCCTTGATGTCAGTTGCACAATAATGAAAGAAATATTAATGACATCACCTCATAATTTAATTTTGAAAGAGAAAAAATTAAGAATGTTTTACGAAAATTGTCACAACATTATTTAATAAATCTGTAGAAAAAAAAAAAAGAAAACGCATGAGATAATCCAATGGAAGAATCCATATTTCTGTCTCTCTCTCTCTCTCTCTCTCTCGTCCCCCTCTCTCTAACTAATGCATCTATGCGACAACATGACACACGTAAACATATCATCGCGTGATACACGTCGGGACAATATTGTATGTCGTCAATCTTTTCGTGAAAACTCAATTTTCCTTACGCGTCCTCTTTTTCCCTTCCCTCTCCTCGAGTTTTACGAAATAATCTACGATCTGGGTGATACACAAGGTGTGAGAAGTAGCAACGCTTACTAACACATCGTTTTTATTAGTCCTCGCCTAGGGCTTATAATCTACATATAGCCTATCGAGTTTGCGAACAATCGCACGTGGAGTAATGTCGATTATAGTAATTAACTCACGTTAACTTATAGTCGAGCTAGTATAAAACAAAAGAACAGATAATGCGATTAATAATGACGCGGTTATAGCTGTTGTAAAATTGTCAAAAGAGATGAAATTGTTTGGAAACAAACGACACGATGGATCGAGATATCACGCTGTCGTTTAATCTCTCTTTTTACGGTACGATTACATCGTTGTACGTATATTTTTCGGAATCGATGTGCTTCGTGAGATTCACGAATCGAGAAGAGTGAAGTACATGATTCGCATATGATCGGACACACGACTTGTTTACTTTCAGAATTATTTATACTTTATATATTTCTGAATCCTCGTACTCGTATATTCTTGCGTTAGAAACAACCGATTATATAACACTCTTTTGGTTATATATAATATATATTTACGAAATAATATGCGAGACATAATCGTGTAGTTATCATTGTCGCGCCATCGTTAAAGTACAGAGTTAAAACTTATTTCTATATCCGGGTCGCGGGCAGTACTTTATACATTTATACAAATTTTCTATAAACACTTTCGAGTCTCTTTAGAGTCGCGTGAAAAGGAAATAAAAAAAAGAATGCGCTTTAGTCGATCAATAAAACGATTACAGGACAGAAGATTCGCAGATAAATGCATCTTCCAATTTTTTTCGCATGAAGTATATCCTCATGTGGATTGCACTAAAAAATATATAAAATCTTTGACAGTCATTCGTTTTCGTCCAGAAGAAAGGGCGGCGCATTTTTTCTATTTATACGTAAGAAATGTAACGTAATATGTGCGCGATGTATTTCAGGAATAGATCCAATATATATTTCGTATCGTTTTCGAGTTACACGACCGTACTAATAATTCTGGGTAAAATTTATTCTATAACCAGTTATAATATTTACAATTATTTTATATCTCACGTAAAATCTTGTTGACTAATGATCCAAATATACAGTGTCTTATGACTCACTCCAGTTTGCATTTTTTCAGAGAAAGTATAAGGTATCGAAATCTATTTGTAGTTTTCTAATCTTTATCTTTAAAGCACAACAGACAACAGAAACTCAATTCCAACAGAAATAACAAATGTGTGTTTAAAATGCGTATAAAAAAGATGCGACCATAACTAAGAAATGACATAGAATAAATCATACATCTATACGAATCTCCTCCCATTACTTATCTCCTTTGGATCCATTCCCAAACTATGTTACCACATATTAAGTTTACACTCTGTTCATCTGTATGTATAGTGTAAAAAATGCAAAGGTAACTGAGAGTCAATTGCAAGTACACCGTCGGTCGTGATATTAAAAGGCACTTGAATATTAAAATTAGCCTAACTAACCTGCTTTCCTTAAACCATGATCGCGATAAAATATAACATTATAATTTCGTAAACAAATGACGCGTATGCGCGCGTCCACAATGCAGTCTATGTTTTATATGGCAGTATTTTAAATCGTTTTTTACAAATATCTCAACAAAATAGAGTATATACTGTATTTAAATATTACTTCCTTTAAATAATTATGTAAACGCTAAAATACCTTAGATCTAGATCTTGTTATGCCGCAGAGTTACGCGTCTCTTTACGTAGCTACTCAAGATCTTGCTGAACTTGACACGAGACACCGAGCGCACAGTTGTTGTTCGCAAACTGTAAATCGCGTCGTATCGTTGCGAATCCTTCTTAAAAATATTGCGTTTCGAGGCGCATTATTTTCCGGCATAAGTCGGATTCTTGAACGTGGAAGTGGCTTGCTTATAGATCGGATTCTCTCCCTGCGAAAACAACAAGAGGGAAAAGGTTATTAAGATAATTAACGTACAATAAATCTGATGTCTGTTAAATAACGGACGTAATTTTTTGCCGAAACTATTTATATCTTTGTATTTAATACACTTGGGGCAATAAAAATTGGAAAAACCAAAATGTTTACTTTTTAAAATCTTGATCTAATTTTGATTCACGAGTAATACACAATCGTACCGTGTCCCACTTGGCCATCATCCTCTCCTTCTCGAAACGGGCAAACTCCCGTCTGTCGTGTATCGTTGTCAACAGTTTCCATAGCAGCAGCAGCGCCAGACCGACCAGGACCACCGCCGCGATCACGCCCAACACGATTCCAAGCATGTAGACCTGCGGTGGGCATTCGCGTTCTTTCTGAGCGCGAACCTGCAGGCAGTTGGTCTCGTTGTAGTAATACACGAAATTGTATTTGCAGTCGTCCTCGTCTGTGCCGAAGCACGGCACCTCGTCGTTGTCCACGTCAACGATCACCGTCTCCACGCTTTCGGGTACGAACTCCTTGCAGTTTTTCGCGCACTCCTCCGGATCGCTATAGTTTCCGGTACCATACATTTGACACTGCACGCACGGTTTCAGTTCCTCGCAGCGGCTCGGGCAAGTCGGGCACTTGTTGCAGTGCTTGCCAGAGTATCGAGTGTTGCCCTCTTCGTGACAGATGCACTCACCACAGATGCAGTCGCCCTAAAGGAAGAAACGAGAAAGAGGGGATGGATAGATTAGTGAATGATTCATTCAAATTCTTTGAGCTTCTATGAAAATTATTTTGGAAGAGAAAACAGAAATATATAATTTTCTTGTACACTCACATGACCCGAGCAGAGTACGCCATTCGTGGTTCCCGGCGCGATGCAGGAATCGTTGGAGGATCTACAATTACAAGACGGTCCGGTCCAGCCGGCGTTGCAGACGCACTGTCCGCATTCGCAAGTGCCGTGGTCCGAGCAGAGCTTACCCTGATCGCGGTCGCAGGAAAAGTTATCGCACTCGCAAAAATGTCCCGATATTACCTGTAAGAATATGAATTTGTTATCTCGCAAATGTTTTGTGAATAGATATCGTAAGAACAATTTTATTTCTATGCAATTCCTCTGTTCCATTTTACTTCAACTTTAATTTAATTTTATATTTTATATATTTATCCGTTTTTAATTTCATCGTATTTTCATCATTGAGGATAAATCGTATAATTTAAAATATTGAATATAAGATAAAAATTAATTGGAAAAATAAAAATAAATTATAATCTTTGGCACTGAACTAAGATAACCGTAAATACGCAGATGAAATAAGTAGAGGAAACATATTCGTAACAGAAATCGATACGTGAGAGAATTAAGGAAATACCTCCTTCGAATTTTCTCGTTCTTCGCATTCGCATTGACCGCAAGCGCACGTGCCGCGGCCGGAGCAGTCTACGAGGGAGGTGTTGTCGGGTCGGCACGATTGGAAATGCTTGTCGAAGCCAGTGAGTTCCTGATGCGGACTGCACTCGCATCGCTTACCGAAGAATCCGTCGTAGCACTCGCAAACGCCGCACTTGAGCGTGCCCACGCCGTTGCACTCGGGCGATTTCTCCTCGTACATGTGGCCTTCGCGCTCGCACTCGCAGTCACACAACATCTCCAGATTTACCGTGAGAGTCTCGTTTATACCAACCTGGAGAAAAGAAGCGCGTAAGTTACAATAAAACCAAATAAAATATAAGAATGAAATAAATAAATATATGTATGTATGGTATAACAGATACAAATTAAAAAATAAAAATATTTGGTGTACATAGATTCCAGTCGATCAATCTCATCTCGCACAATGAGTTAATGCGTGAGCTTACCGGATAAATGTCAAACTTTTGCTTCCATTCCGATCTGTTGGCCGGACAACTGGTGACTTCGATCTCCGCGATAAACTCCACCTTTGTGCCGACTTTTAGTCCGTCGCATTTCGACGTCTCGATCGCCGGCCCAGTACCCAAGCAGCTCGAGAAGTATTTCACCTTGACCGCGCTGCTGGCCGTGTCCTTCATCTCCACTGAGCTCGAGATAGCGTCGTACTGCTCGCGGATCAGTTCCACGACATTACTGGAATCGTCGGACAACTTGCCGGCGAAGGAACCCTCAACGTGCTTCGTAAGTCTTTTGTAAACGTTGATCTGCTCCTCGGTGACCGCCCATATGATATTTATGGCGTTTCGTTTCACTTTCAGATTGATTTGCGAAATGCTCGGATAATCCTGCAGGGACGAGTGGGTGTACGTGCCTCTCGTGTCCAAGTGGCACATGCCATCGTTCGGCTTGATGATACCACCCAGCTTACCGTCGCCTGCATAATGAAAACCGGCATCGGTCGAGAATACCAGTAACCGACGCGCCTTTTCGCGCCAGCCTATTTGATTACGACAAACTATCGCTTGCATGATCGCATCGAAGCCGCCCTCCGGCGCGTCAAGATTGCCGGACACAGACGCGTTACGCACCAATCCCTGTAAATAAAAATATCTATCTAAAAAAAAAACCGTTAGAAAGATGACAGAACAGAATCTTTAATTATCTTTGATCTAGAATTGAAATTTAGATTTGTCATAGTTTTAAAATTAATTACAGATTTAGCTAATATATGTATATTTATAGTTATTTCTGTACCGCAAACTTGCTTGTGTCCTGAGAGAGTCTCATGATGTTCTTGTATCCATAAGGCGCCGCGCAACCGTCGCACGGTTCGATAAGACTGAAATCAAAGATAAGCCGAATATTGACACATGTACGCACACATTACAGTGGCAACAAGATGTGCTTTCGTCGGCTTATCTCGCAACTTACGATTTTGGCACGGTATTGACGTATGGCATTACGACTTTGTCGACAAAGCTACCGAAACCCAAACGGAAATTGCTTGTAATCTTGCTCATGCTCTCGACCAACAATTGGCCCAAATCGGACAGTTTCTTCTTGTCGTCCTCCATGGACTTGCTCAGGTCCATAAGATAGTAGAGGTCCACGGGATAATCTTCCGCTTGGGAATAAGCGAACGACATTCTATAAGCTTCATCTGAAACGAATTTACATTATACAAATAACATAAAAATTGACAATTATACTTTTAACTTAATTTTTTTAACATGGTAATAACTTACTTATTCTAAGTTTCAGATCGACCTCTTGTGGCCACATTTGCACGGCCTCCTGTCTTCTACTTCCGCCACTGCTCGAACTCTCCTTATGAAAATGCGAAGAGGATGAGCCGGAAGATGAGAAATTGGAGTATGAGCCTTCGATGCTGCCATATCCTCCTCCTGCGCCGCCGCCAGCGGCGAAACCGCCCTTGGTCAAGTTACGGTGTCGCAGCATGCTGAAGACATTATCAGGATTCCATGTGTACTTGGGAGGACACGTTGCGAATATCTTGGTATTGATATTTGGAAGGAAACACCTCTTCTCGGAGAATTTCTGCAAATTTGATTCAGAAATATCAAATAAATGGCAATTGTCAAGAGAAATGTCCAATTTTTTTATCAGTGCGAGAGCTTAATCAGTGTTAAGCTTTATAGAGGAAACAAAAGAGAATGTTGGATCAAACTTAATATGGACTTACCGGTGCTGCGCACCAAGCACAGTGTGGAGTCTGTATGCACTCATGGCATGTCTGTTTACTGATACAAGGATTCATGCCAGTCAATCTTTCCGGAGGAGGATAATTGGCCCGAGCGAACGAAACTAACAGGCCCACCACTAATATTCCTAGCACAACGAGCCATCTTGAGCTGCCAAACATTCTGCAATATTACAAATAGACTGATAAATCTCTCGATTCAACGGACAAATATTCTTATATATATAGACACACAGATAAATAACTAAAAAATATTCTTGTCTCCAGAAGTGACTTAAGAGACCAGGATTAGAAATTAATATTGTGTACATAGAGTTAACGATGCAGATACCAAAATATGGAAAAATGATTAACAAGATGACAGAATTAGAAGAGAGAGAAGAGGAGAAGCCTGGACACATGAAGAAAAGTTTTTAGCGGATTGACGGAACGGAGTAGCGCACCAGGAATTATACATGTATACGTACGATCTCGCTCCCATTTTTTGAAGGGGAAAGAAAAAAGGAGTCGCGAATCGAGATGATACAGACAAGCGAGACGATGGACACACGCAGTCGCGCACCTCCCGCGGCTTATTCATACGGCGGCGATGCCGTCATCTTTATATTTGCCGAGCAACATCACTCCCTCGCGTATGACTAAAGCAGCGGAGGTCGATAAGCAGGAGATATACATATATGCATTTCTTGGCGCGAGAAGCGGGCTTACTTAATCGCGCGAGAGACGATGCGTCGTCCTTCTCCGTTTCCCCGTATTACGTTTTACAGCGCATCACAAATGTTGTTTAGAGAGTCGATGCAAGATGCAAGTCGATGTGTCTCTCCCTTCGTCGCTCAGGATCACCATAAATGGCAATCCATCAAACGAATCGTTCCGGAGGGAGTGCTCTCATCTCGCCACTCGCCGCGTTCGCCTCCTTCGCGCAACGAGTGCTGGAAAAGTATTCGACCAATCGGGGCGAAGATTGCTCGATCCCGATTGGTGGACAAAACGCGCGCCTCTCTACGCGGATTGGCGCGTACGGTTTGGTTTCGCAAATGTCACCGGCGAGACGAAAAGTGACTAAAATCTTTGCGCTCGCGCGTTGGCAGCCTTGCGGATTCCTTGATTTTGAAATATAACAGAAAGTGGCCGCGCTAAATTGTTTCACTCGACGAAAGTTTGCATTGTGACGAACTATCGGAAATCTCAGTGTGCATTTTCGCGTCGTTATGGATCGTATTCTCCTTGTCGTCGCCAGTACCTGTAATTTTTGCGCCGTTCGTCCTCTGGAAATTCTCCGGCTAATGTTTTGAGACGATGATGATGGCATCGTTCGATGACTGCGACGAGCGAGGTAAGCGTTTCGTTCTTCGTTCATTTGGAATTACACATTTCGAATAGACGAAATATATTTGAAAAAATATAGTTTCACATTAATATTCAATATGATATAGAAATATATATATATTAATAATAATAACACACATTTCAAAAATAATATATTATTTATTTTAAATTGATACTAAATTTGTGAAATATCGTGCAAAACATTGCAAGCATGAAAAATACATTTTGAGAAGGATCCATCAAGCGCACTTTCTTTTTTAAAGCTCGCAAATTTTTCTCTTTATTTCTATTTTATTTTATCATAAAAAGCTATATGAAAAGAGAAAATTATATATAAGATTTGCGCTAGATGGCATCGGGGAGCAATGCTGCCACTACAGAAAAGTAAATTGTCATTGCGTGATCGATAATATCAAATTTGTCGTGTGTGTAAAAATATATACAAAATATGCCGTATTTATAATTTTGATTAAACCGCGGGTACGAACTTGTCGTTTTATCACGAGAAGACGCAGGAATCATTCTTTTTCAGTGAGTATTTAACCCTTTGTCATGGAAAGATTCTTATAATAAATCACGTATTATTTGACGAGAAGCGTCGTTGCACGTGAGTACTTTGGACAAGGAGGTTATTTTTCGCGGCTAGGGAGAAATGTTGCCTTTAGGTTTAGTATTTTAGTTTCTTTATCGACAGTTTTATACCTCAACCAGACGACGAAACTTCTTTTATAATTCATTTACAAAAGATTGTTCTAGTATATTATTTTATATTATATATTTTGCATGTCATTTTTTATGTTTCTCTCTCTTTCTCTCTTTTTTTCTTTTTCGTTCTATATAATAAGTATAGTATTATTAGTTATTTTATATAATAAATAAGTGAAAATCTCACTGCAAAATTCTTTATTCAAATTTAATGAAAAGTATACTATATTCTTAGTAAGATAATATTTAAAATAACAATTATTATATTTTATTTTTATATCAATATTAATTGTATTATTTTTTGAAAAATTCATAGATCGAAAAACGAAAACGAAACGTTTTTGTCGATAAAATAGGTATTTTTATTTACCGACATCACTCGTTCTTTGAATATACGCTTTTCGATTATTCATATAGATGGCGCGAGAATGAAATTTTTGTTACTGCATCATTTCTTGTTTGTCTTTTCATAGTTTACGCGCCATTTCTCTGAGTAAGTTACCGTTTTCGCGAACGCTACTTTTATGCGTCATTATCGAAAAGTTTTCGACAGTTTTCTCGTTCGAAAGATGTTGAAAGAAACTGCGCAGATCTATCGATTCTCAAGAGAACTGATTTTCATCGTGTGTACGTAAGTTTACATAATTTTGAGCGCCAAATTTTTAGTATTTCGTCGCGCGAGAAATTCAAGAAAATGCGCCAAGTGAGCGAACTTTCCTTCACCGAAATATATTATTCCCCGCATCTAAAATAAATATATATCTTCCAGGGAAAGAAATAATTCATTATATCCTACGTATACATTTCGGGATGAAGAAATAAAGCACGCCGGGAGATTCTGATGATATAATTTTTATTATTATTAGCATTATTATATTTATATATATATACCATAGTTTGCGCGAAGTACATACATTCGTCGGTACATTCGCGCGTCCTAAGAGAGCGAATTCTTTTTCCTTCTCATTCGATTTTCGAGTCTCTATAAAGGAATCGCGAATTCGAAGAAATATATATATATATATATACGGATCGACGCGACACGCGCAGTTCGATACGTTTCGATACTTTCGTTTCGCAAGGAACAGAAAGGATAACATTGTCGCGCGAGAGGGATAATACACGCAACGCGTGAAAAGAGCTAGAGTTAAATAAGCGCTAAATAAATAAAAAAAAAAAAAAAAAAAAGAAACGCGACTTTTCTCTTCGAAGAGGAAAGAGACGGACTCGCCTGGTTCGGTGATTCATAAATAACGAAGGAACGCGGGCGCCTTCCTCGACCCCGATCGTTGTGCGTCTATTCTCGTGAAAAATATCATACGCACTCCTCTTTCAGGTGTAACTACCTAGGTAAGGAGCTAATAGTAAATTACTAGCATAAACTGTAAATTAATAAAATTATTTTGCGACGAGGAAGAAATCGGCGCAAGCGTTCTTTCGGCTTAAATCTACTAAGAAATAATAACATTAATATAATAGTTGTAATAAATATATATTATTAGAGATATGAGACCCCGTGTATCGCGATAGCTTTGTAAGTTTGATCGAACTTTTAGTCGCCTACGATTTTTCCCGGATCTCGTATTACCGTAAAAATGTCGCCCTACTCTCTTAAATCGAATCAATGTATTATCATTGAAAAGCAAAAAATTTCAAGTCTCGATTATAAATATATCACTGTAAATCAGTGAAATTTCAAAACATTTTAAAATCTTGTATTATATCATATATGAGATAAATTTATAATAATATATTTTGTTTAAAAATATCTGAGTTTTCGTTCCTAAAAGTCTCGTTCATTTTTTGTTTATCACATCTTAAGAGTAAAACAGTGTAATATGTACATAATTTTGAATTTTTTAATACTAGTTATACGTGTTTTATTCGAGATATATATATATATGTGTGTGTTTGTATGTATGTGTGTGGGAGCTTCTCTCGAGAAATCCAAAATAAATAAGAGAAAATTTTAAAAACTACATTTTGCAAATATGTACAATTATTATTGATTTTTCAATGAAATCTTACCGCCTAAATTTTTGTCAGTCGAACATGAGACGGAAGAGCAAAGAATAAATGTTTTCACTGAAATATTCACTGATCTTTGGTAAATCATTGCTTTAATCGGTGACATTTTCATTGACTCAGTTTAAGAGAGCACACTTAGATACGCTACTTATCTCGTGAGAAAATCTTCGCGTAGCGCGTCACCTCCGTGCAAAATAAAATTTCTTTTTGCATCGCGAGCGTAACCGCCGTGCGATGCGAGCAAGGAGAACTTTTTTTTTTCAGTAATCTGTCTCTTCTTTTTTATTTTCGCGTCTTCCTCTTTCTTTAGTTTTCTCATAAATATTTTTGTTTACAACAATATAAATACCATTATCAGACCAATAATTGCTAAATTGACCAGTTATTTAATTGACACCATTTATTTAAAAATGGTCCGTGTAAGTTTAGAAAATAAAGGGGAAAATAATTTTATATTCAATTACTCGTTTCGCCATCGACGAGATATTATTAAATAAATTTCGGTAAATTGAAATCTGCCAATCATACAATAAATATATGTTCGTAAGTTACTGAAATCCTTAGAAACTTCTCTATCCGAAATAACTATATAATTGAACTATATGCTCGATCTATCCGGTCTCGATCTGGCTTAGATTAAAATTAGCGACGATCGGAATTTTTGAAGACTGTACACCATTCTCTTTGCCGAAACTCGAAAATGCAAATTTTATTTAGCGAAAATAGTTTAGGGGATCTTATAAGCTTAAGATTATTCAAGACCCGTCAATATCTAATCGATAAGGACACAAGCCATTTATTTTTGACATAATTGTATTTATTTTCAGAAGCCTTAAATTTTTTCAAATATTTTCGTATGTACAATTATATATAGACTATTATCTGATCAAAAATGACAATTGCAACTAATTATCCAATTATTTAATTTACTTGCCATCGACGTAATTTTACAAAGAAAAAAAAAAGAAAGTAACTTTAAGTGTATATGTGAAATTCTTTCTTTCTCATTTTTACATTTTTAATATCCAATTACAATCTTATTTTTAATATAATTGTAATCTTGTCAGAATTTTTCAGCTCCACGTAAATCTTTGCAATGTTTCTACAATATGCTCAATATTTGCTAGAATATAATTGAAATGCTTTGTATTATGTGTAAATATTCATAATCGACTTCACGCATTTATTTCGAAATTAATTGTTTTGCGATGTAAATTATATACTATATAGTTGAACAAACTTTTTACCAATTTTTTTTTTTCTTTTAAATCAAGCATCGCTTCTGTTTTGCTTTCATTTAACAGTACCTCGTCGATGGTTTCGCTCGATATTCCGATAAATTCGATAGACAGCCGTTGCCGGAGCTCGCGTAACTCTCGTCCGAACCAATCGGACGATATATACATAAAGAGGACGGTCTTGATATTTCCAATATATATATATATATATATATATATTTTTTTTTTACATACGCAGTCGCGTTATTTCGCCTTTCGGTACTTTGCTGTAAACGGACTTGATGATGATCGACGTTCGTTAATGGAAGCGCCCGTCGAACGTTATTTCGTGCCGTTTGCGATTCGCGACATTTTACGTCACGTTATAAAATTCACGTGCGCAAAAAGATTCATTGTGGCGCGTGTGTGACATGTAATACTGGTAATCACTGTTTCAAAGGTATAGCAAGGAGGAGCGATGATGATCCTCATGCATTTTTTCGACATAATATTTTTGTCTCCCCTGTTTATTTGTATATTCATCAATTTTCCATCGGAAACGTCGAATCGTATTATTCGTTCGTCCTGGATTTATATCGCAGTATCCCGATAGATACAATATATCGAGACGTTGAGATTTTTTATGAAAAATATCTTACTCGTCCCTTGCTTGAATTTGAAACGATATTTGAACATCGCGACACGATGCGTCGTGAATAGATACAGCTGAGACCGCTCGTCCTTGCTATCTTCCTCCCTTTTAATTTTCAATTGACCGTGGCAAGCTGTGTTTTATTGATCTTTTACTTAATGTTTCTTTAAAGAAGCACAATGAGGTCCCCTTGGCTCCTCGCCGCGCTCGCCGGCCGTTTCGAACATCTCGCGACTGCCTCTTTACGCCATGCCATTTACGGGAACTTATTTCGATTGCCTCTTACGTCCCATGTTGCAGATCTTGAAGTGGCACAGGGACATGTCTGAAACACGAATCGCGTGCGTTATTCGCTGTCACGGTTAACTTAAACGCGTTATTCTCTCGCATCTTGCGAGCATCTCTCACGGATGCTTCGTACAATTAAATCGCAAATCTTTCCAAACTCGTTCGAGGAATTAATCGGGAACGGAGACGCACAGTGCGTCACGAGCCAATTGCTCCAATCAATTGTCATCGATGACGATCGCCTTCGATCCCTCGCATGCGTCGCGGATTCGTAAACGCGTGTCCGAGAAAAGTTATTTGTAAGATTAGTAAATATAATCGAGAGAGGAGCGCCTTTTCTCTCCCGAAATGACCCGAGATATTGAAGAAAAAAGACTCCTCGTCCCCTTCCGCGCGAGGAAGCTAAGGAGGATTCTGCGCGGGATTGCGGGATTTCCCGAAATGGCGTGTGGCATAATTTTCTCGATCCTCCGGGATCCAGTTAACTAAACCCAGTAAGAGAACGCGGCTGGTTTTTTTATTTTAACGACCGGATTCCACGCGGCGTCGGAAATCCGTGGAATATCATTCCGAGATCATCTCGAATGTTCCAGACATATATCTCGAGTATACAACATGCTACGTGAATATTAAAAGCTCTCATGTCAGCAGAGGATTTTTTTAGCCGCTCGTTAAGTAACTTTAACGCGCACCAAAATATTTACGATCGTCGTAATCTTTTTTTCTATTTTCTTTGCCTTAATTAAAATATTACCGTTGCACATTTTGCACTCGTCTATAAAACTCGCAAATTTTCATATATTATGCGAAAAGAATTATTAAAAATAAATCTTATTTTATTTTCTCTTTATTAAATTTTTTAGCGAGATGTCTCGAGATACAAGATTTCTCGATCTCTCTTATCTTGTATGTAAAAAATATACTCACAACTAACTGCATTCGGGCCGTGTCGTTTGCCCGGATGTTGCTCGTGATGGACCATGGCGGCGGGTATTGGCAGCGCTTCCGGTTCCGATTCTTCGACAGAGTAATCCGGTCGCGCCTCGTTCGCGCGTTCCCGCGCCTTCGCCTCCAGCATCGCCTGGATCTCGATCTGCTCGTCGGTGATCTCGCGCTCGTCGGTGATCTCGCGCTCAATCTGCTCGTCCACGCGATGCTTCTGCTCCATCAGCTGCTTCAGGCGGTTCAACTATGCTTTTCTACCTTTTTTTCATCAGCAACTTTAACAAGACAGCGCGTTAATAGTCGGCAAAAAAGAATATATATATTTTTTTTTTTTTTCTAAAGAGCATAGCGCACACACACACACACACACACACATATTTAAATTATATTGTACTTACGAGACTCTCGGTGTCGTCTGCATAATTTTCGCCGTAGAGAAAGCCCGATGGGAGCGGTTCCGGTTGCGGGAATGCGAGAACTCTGTCGCTGCTACTTATGGCACAGGACAGGACGAATGCCGCCAGCAGGCAGAAGCTTGTCCTAGCGGCTCGTCGACTAGTTCTTTTCGTCATTCCCTCGTATCTCGTGCTCTCTACGAAAAGGCAGAAAAGAGATCTTTGCATTAATACACGCAACGCGACGCATAATTATTTAGGGATTAAAATGAAAAGAGAACTCTCTTCGATTGAATCAGTGAAAATATCACTGATTAAAGCAGTGACAAGATTTCAGTGAAAACACTCGCACTTTGCTCCTCCGTCTTTCACCGATTACGCTAGTAAAATTTCATTGAAACATCGGTCTCTGTCGCTGATTCTTCTCAGTGAAATCAGTGAAATTTTACCTTTTTAGCGTTATACCTATAATTGAAATCACACTGCTATCAGTGATTCCATTTAGGAGAGAGTAATGTTTTTTATTTATTTAGTTTTATTATGACAAAGATGTACATTCGGCAGAACTTGCAGTTGTTGGAGATCATTTGATATGGTCTTTCGTCGCTATTAAAAATATGAAAATATATTTCAGGGACAAGACATTCCACTTTCCTCTCGCGATCTCCGTCGTGTGAACATATCGTGTATAATTGATCCTTTTTTTTTTTTTTTTTCCTTTACTTTGCGAGTCGAGATGAGAGCCGCGAATCACAAAAGGCGAGAACGAGCGTGATTCGCGATTCGTGCGATGCCGGTCTCCGGGGGTCATCATGGATTATCCTTTCGCCGATAGGATGTTATCTGTATAGCGAACGTGCGGTGCGTGTTACGCGATAAGGAATAAAATCGAGCAATGAGAAAAGAGGGATCCGACGAAGATGTGGCGGACGAAATTGCGCGATATCGCGTCACGTCTATGATGATAATAGTAATAATAGCGATAACAAACGCGTGATGAAACATTGCGCGTCACATATGTATAATAATATTAATGACAATAGCAGAAGGAATTTCACGCGACGGTGTTCTCTCCGCCTTAACGAACGGCCGTTTAACGATTTATAGATTCTAATCGACCTCGTCATTAATTCCAATGTGAGCCCGTCGAAGAACACCGCGACGTTTGCTCGTCCGTCGCAAACAAAACGATTAGAAATCAATTCGCTCGCATTCAGATGCACAAGCCCGCCGTTCAAAGACTAGGCATTCGGAAAAAATAATCGGTAATTTCAAAAAAAATTTTTTCTATTCGATTACAGACGAAGAGAGAGAGAGAGAGAGAGAGAGAGAGAGAGAGAGAAAAGGAGGAAAATGTTGTATTCTCTATTTTTTTCGAGAATTATGTAATAATCAAATTTTTTCATTTTTTCTGACAGTTCGCGAATGATTCCTCCAAGATCGCAATTCGCTCGCATTCAGATGCACAAGCCCGCCGTTCAAAGACTAGGCATTCGGGAAAAATAATCGGTAATTTCAAAAAAATTTTTTTATATTCGATTACAGACGAAGAGAGAGAGAGAGAAAAGGAGGAAAATGTTGTATTCTCTATTTTTTTCGAGAATTATGTAATAATCAAATTTTTTCGGATATTGTGACAGTTCGCGAATGATTCCTCCAAGATCGCCTGGGTTTAACTTACGTTGGTCGAAAATCCTCTCGCGAAAATCGCGCTCTATTATGTCGATGGGACGACGCGCGGTGACGGAATGAACCACGGAAGGGCTGTTGCACCCTCTATTATACCCGCGCGTCGAATAACCCCCTTCACCTACCCCCGTATCCGCCACCATCCTCGAGAAACACACCTACTCACCTGTAGTAGGTGCGACACGAGGAGGAGAAGAAGGGTTGCGTTTCATCCCCTACCCTTTTCTGTCATCCTTTATGAAAACGTAATGAAACGCGCGATGCCTACCTTATTGTAAACCGTCACGTTCCGTGTTTTAGTCGCATCGCATCATTAAAGTTACCGCCATTTCGACGCGGAATCCGAAAAGAATTGATCGAACGCGCGAAAGACGAGAGATTCTTACACTTCGAGTCAAGAAATTTTATATTCTTTCTATTATCGAGTCGGATAATAATATTTTTCAATTTTTCCTCTTTTAAATTGAATTATACATTTTACGTATTTTATTATGTACATCGAAGAGAGATTTGATATAAATTGACTCTCAATTTATTGAACGGAAATAATCATGCGAGTCATTCTCTCCTACCCTTCCCCTCCCCTACTTCCTCTTAAGATTTCTTTTCTCTCCTCCGGAATTTTATTTCTTTATTAATGGCATTTTTTAATAAATATAATCATTGAATGATGCCGATTATTTCGATTATCATATACATATGTAGTATCCTGTTGTGTGTTTGTTTCATTTTATCATAAATGTCTCTTCTACCTTTATTAATCACGATCGATTTTTTTTTTAAACGAAGGAAAATGTCTTGAACTTAGAGATATGAAGGAATTTATACATTGAATGTTATTTTCCGGGCATGTACTACATATATGTATATTATTTGATAAAACGAAAATCAAACAACAATCAATTTGATAAAACGAAAAGTAAACAACAATCAATTGAAATTTTTTTTTTGTATCGATATATCGATGCTCATATTCTTTCTGCTATCGAATCGCGTTGTCTGCTCTGTTTTCCCTCGCGTGTTTTTATTCATAAATATCAAATCTGCGTACACGATACGTTCTCATTATTTCGTATGGATGGAAAACTTTTCCATCCGTAAATACTGCGTATATATTTCGCGTACGCGATACGTCCTTATTATTCAAGCCGGATCGTTTTCCAAATCAAACGCGCGTCTATGGAATTTTTGTCGCAACTCAATTGCGTACCAATTACATTACAATGACGAGGAAAATGACGCGCGTTATAAGGCCGCTGATAGTCTCTCACGCGTAATGAAAACAAACCAGCACATCGATGCAAATACCTACGTACGCGTGCGTGTTTTGAGCTTCGAACATTCAACGTGCACATGCATTCTTCGCCGGATATTCCATTGGAAAATTTAGGAATTACTCGGCGCGTTAATCGCGGGATCGCGATTCATGATGTCGATCGCATGCGCGCGTAAAAAAGAACGCACTCGAATCGTATATACTGTAACGCAAGAGATGAGCGAATATTTAAAATTAGATTAGAGCAATGTTCTCTCGATTCTCGCGAACCAATGGCGAGGCGACGATAAGGCAGCTTCTTATCGCGGCTTTGCGAGGACGGGATGCGGAGGACGGGGAAAGAGAATTATCGAGATTCGGTGGAGATTTTTTCTCCGTCACTCCCCCTTCCTCCCTCCGAAATTGTTACTTTTGTAAGTCGCAATTTCAAGTATATGCAATATGGTAGATCGGAGTACGATCGAAAAGGATACGATTCTTCGCGCAAAAATAAATCGAGCAGTTTTTCTTCGCGCGAGGCTTTGTTCTCGAAAAAATTAAAGGAACGATGAGTGAAAAGGGACATTTTTCTATCTAAAGTAAACTATACGTGTAATTTTATGTTTTCTGAATCGCTGAATACGATAGTAACATTTTTATTCCTTTAATGTGATGAAAAAAGTAATCAAAATTTGTCTCATATTGTCTCTATTCTTGATCTCGATCGAGACTCTTTTCCATCGATATCCATCGACGAATAACGATGTAACGAGATCATCCCATTCGATCCCAATTCTCGTCAACAAGAGAGAAATAGGGAGAGACAGAGAGAGAGAGAGAGAGAGAAAGGAATGCTATTTAAAGCGTTTCTAAGGATTGATAGTGTTTCGAGGATTATTGTAAACTCGGGTCTGAGAGCTTAATGAGAGCTTAATAAGAGCTTATTGTACATATATTCATTACTGTACACGATCTTGATATTGCAGTAAATTGCGTCATGCAGCTATTCCACATTTCGTTTAGATCGACATCGACATCTTCGACGCAAAAGCTCTCCAAACTCGTTTATCCAGACAAGAGACCATAGATTAGAATCGCATACTTTTTTATATTATTTTTATTTTTTAAATACCTCTATTCTCATACTCTGTTTTCACGTACTAACTCTGGCAAGTGACTGAAGAAACTTTTTATTCTCTTTCATGTGTACCTGTTTTTTCTCTCCCCTATTTTCTTCTAAATACGTTACGCTAAAAGAATCTTTTGAAAAAAATCAAAAAGGAGCTAGGGATCCTGAGAGACTAATCTCATCGGCGTAAGTGTTACGTCATTGGGTTTCGAAGGCAGTAACTAACGTCTTGTCTACGAGCTTGATTAGCGGATATCCATGCGTGTCTCGGAAATCCTGCGCCATACGTTTGTCTGTTTAAAGTAAATTACCCAACATCCGTGACGCGCGTGTACGTTTGCGAGCGGATAATGTAGCAATTTACGCAACTAGCGGGAGGCTACACACCGGCTTTCTCCGCTCCGCTCCTTTATGAAGGAGCTACTCGATTGTACGTTAATACAAATCTCGATTACCCACGTTAAGGCGTAGCGCGATTGTACTCGCGAATCCTTGATTCCCCAGTTATGAGCGTTCAAACGCTTAGAAGAAAGGGTAGGAGGGAGGGAAGAATTAAAGGGAGAGGTGCGTCAAGATCCGCTTAGAATGTTTGCGATATGTTTGATGTATGAATATGATTTATATACACATATAATAATTCAAGGCGTCTCTTAATTAACATTTGCTCCGATGACTTTATATGAAAAAAATAAATAAATAAATGAAATTATTTTTTTTCTGTTCCCTCAGACAGGTGAGTCGTCATGTCGAGCGACATTGAGGAGGAAGAGCAGCAGCAGGGGGAAGAAAAACCGTTTGCCGTGGAACGTGCGAAGTCCAGACGCGCAAAATGCAAGAGATGCAAGTGCGTCATCGAGAAGGGCGAGATACGGATCGGCAAGTACGTGACGAGCTTCTTCGCGGATGGAAAATTGATGCCGGCCTGGCACCATGTCACCTGTTTGTTCGAAGCGTTCGCTAAACAGCGCGCGACAACCAAGAGAATCGATGATCCCGCGGAGGATGTGAAGGGTTGGGAGCAGTTATCCGACGACGATAGAAAGCTCATCCTGGACAAGCTGGAGGAATTCGAGAAATCTTGCGAGTATCGTGTATATTTAATTTCTTCTCCGTGAAAGAGATATTTCCCTTTTTTACGCCTTCGCGCGCGACTTATTCGCGTCGACTCAGTAGCGGATCTACGTTTTTGTGTTCTATCGAAAATTTTTTATAATTTTCTCGATCTTTAAAACGATTTTTCTCGAAAAAATTCCTTAACGATTTCACTTATTTATCTGTATTATATAACTTTTATTCGCGGCACAATATTAACATAAAGTTTTAAATTAATATTATTGATATATAAATTTTTGGAATAAAAAAGAGACTGAAATTGATACCGTTCGATATTTTAGGGGAAGAAAAACAAATTTTAAATTATACAAATAAAACATCTCTATCATCAAAAGGATGTTCTTTTCAGGACACTCTGTACATCTGTATGCTGATGCCCTGATGCTTATTAAGCTTTATTAGCTTACCGATAGATCCGCCACTGCGTCTGGCAATTCACCAGAGCCAATTAACATTTGCATTTAATCCAATGTACTTTTCTTCACATTATCTCGAAGCGCGGTAGTCGATTCGTGTGTTACACGGAGAAATAATTCAAAGGCTTTCCAGCTTTTCTCTTCGCGAGAGAAACTTCCGCTACTTCTAATAGATTTCCTCCCTTATGAGCGGAAAGCTCGTAGCTTTACAACGGAAAGTTCCAAAAGAGCTTGATGCTTATAAGAGAGAGATTGAGAGTTCTCTCTGGGGGTGGAAAAGTTTATCGATATTGGGGAAAGATTGCAATGTGTTATATCGCGTGTGCTATTTTTTTTCCTCATAATTTTCTCGTCTTCCGTAATTAAAATTTGTTCACGTAGGAGGTTAACGATGTATGAATAGATAGACGAGGAAAACAAGATTTTATTGAAAGATTATTATATTTTTATCAGCTTCTCTCTTATTACGATTAACATAATTTTAGTAATAAATAATCCGCCAAATTTTTCACTTCAAAATACAGTTAACAATTTTTCCAGAACAAATTTTACCATATATAAAATAAAAATAAAAATAACTTTTAATATAACTTTTAATTATAAAAAATTTTATATACAT